TACATAAAAGCAAATCGACGTTCAAATATTAAGCTCCCAAATTGTATCAAGCCTTAACCGCCAAAATAACGTAAGCGACATTTTTTTCAAAAGTTTCTTTTTGATGCAGAAATGCATCTAGATGCTCTAGGAATATTTCTGCATCAAAAAGAAAATTTTGAAAAAAATGTCGCTTACGTTATTTTGGCGGTTAGGGCTCGGTATGTTCACTGCAAACAAAAAAAAACATAACAAGACTGTTTGTTTTGATTTTAATTTAAAGACTTTTGGCACATATGTACATATGTATGTATGTCTGCACATATCGTTACCTTAATATAGAAAAGCTATATCTAACAATTGTATTGCTTTACGGAGTAGTTATAAAAATTTATAAAAATCAAAGTTCTTCGGTGTCGAATTTCTTCAAAACACTGTAACTTATTTAATGATGTAGGAGTTACATACTTTTAAATTTTGTTTTGATCCTTAGTGAGTAATCTTGCGTCTTTTTTACAAAGCGGAATTTCGAAATAAAATGAGTTAAGACCTTTCTATATAGAGGTAACGATATGTACATAAATGTACTTTACGTCTGTGTAAAATTCAAAGTTAAATAACAGAAAACGTTTGAATTTGGAAAATTTGCTCTAAAGCTAAGGAAACTAAAGATTTCGATAGCATTTAAGTAAAATTTATAAAGTACAGTAAATATTATTTTTATTACCAACACATCAATATATGTGTATATTGAAGGAACATCCAATATACATACATAATTACATATACTTTATGTACAATTTAATAACTTACAATAATTTAATGTAACAGGACAAAAGTTGTTCACGTAGGGCTGGCAAGCTATCGATAGTTTACGATACTATTGCCGAAACCATCGAGAGTTTTTCGATAGTATCGGTTCAATTAAAGAGTGGCACTCCACAAAAAACGTTTGGGGATTTTCAGGCCTTCAACATTTTATTCAGCTTATGAGACCTGGAGATTTGCTCTAATAACAAGCGCTTCAAATAGGCTCGGAAAATTAATTGATCAATGAATTAAAAAAAAAATATTACGCAAAATTCATTAAATAACCTCTTTCAGAACACATTTTCATACCATTTCTTTTTTTCCCCAGGGCGCGAGTTATGTGTTCCGTGTTCGAATCGGCAATCGTATGAAAATAGTTTACGGAACTGATCGTATGCAAGGCAACATTGGAATTATGGCATACGTTCACTGACATATCGTAATTTTTCACAGATGGTGATGGATTCCCGGCGAATTATAATAGAAATTTTGACAAGTTAATGCCATTTGGTTATTTGTAAACAAAATAGGTAGTTATTTAATTAGCGCTACACAATTTATCTAACACATCGAAATATGGTATTGTTGAGAACTTTGGTCAGAAAATATTTTCCACTAGGGTTGCCACGCTTCTGTGTAATATAAATTTTTATTTTGTTAATTTCAATCAACATTTTTTTTATGTATACCCAGTACATGTACGCTCAAGATATGTACCATTCATTCCAGAGTATTTCAGAATAGGGTTGCCACCTAAATTTTAGAATAAGGTATTTAATTAATAGATATCGAAATCCATTTTTTT